CAAGAAGCTTCTGATCGCAGATCGAACGAAGAGGCTAGGAAACATGAGACAGGGGGCTGATGACGTGAAGAGGCATCGCTGGTTTAAATTAGTCGAATGGCCATTGGTAATTAATTAATGAATTTCACAAGTAAATCGATAGTGTCAATGTGAAATTATTTCTTTTTTTTCATTAGAGTAAGAATAGTTTTTTAAATAGTATTAGTTTCTTACTGAGGTATGAATAATTTTCTCAGTAATATTAATTTTTGTATTAAAGCAAGGATAGTTTACTAAGTAATACTAGCTTCTAGTACTAATAAATAATACTAATGTAAGAATCGTTCTCTGAATAATGTTAGTTTTCCATTAAAGTAGAGAAATATTTTTTTCCAAATGATCTTAGTTTTCTAAACGATATTACTTTCTCTATCAAAGTAAGATTTCACAGATTTTATATTACACTTTTTTTGTATAAATAGGTGCCGCAGAGAGCCCTGACACCACCAATAAGACCAAGAGTAAAAGCGCCAGGTGACCCAAGCTGTTTCGACGATTATCCTGAAACCGATTGGCGTTCCCAGCCTCCCTTGCCACCGGAACAACTGGCTCTGTTTCAAGATTTCTAAAAGAAACGTCATGGACAATCGTTCGAACATTCGAACCATGCCAGGCATTCATTGACGCAAATTCATTCGAAGAGCTTCCGTGTCGTGATTAGGATCGTCGAGTTAACAGCATTGTGATGTGTATAAAGTTTCTCTTACGTTCAAGCGTAAGGGAGTATCTTTTTATTTTGTACATATAGCAGCCCTCTTTTGTATTATTTGGTTGTGCACCTCGTTTATTTATTCGTACTCGCTGCGTAGGCTAGGCATTTTTCTTCGTTGTTTTACGTTGTAAATAAAAAAAAAAAGAATGGAAAGAGAAGAACGATGTAACACGAAGGAGAAACTGTAATCTCAAATCAATTTTCATCTCATGAAGTGAAATTGCTTGAGAATATATGTTCCTTCTCACACAAAGAAGAGATAAAAAGTGATGACAGGAATGGTCATAATTTTGTAAGTTGTTATATGTAAAGTATTGTAACGATGTATCGTGCGGCTGTACGCTACACATCGGAAGAGAATTAAATCATGAATTTTTTAAATTTCAACTGGTTATTCCTGAAGATAATAGGTATCGCTATTCGAACCTTGAACAGAGTACAAATTCGATATTTTAGTGTGTCATTAATTGCGATAAGATCGGTAAGCATCCACACCGTACATGTTCTATTAAATTTTCAAATAGTTAGTGAATAATTTACATGAACACCAGACACGCGATCCTGTCGTGCTATGATAAAACGCATTATTCTGCATTTCAAGAATCAGTATCGCTTCGTGAACGTTACTAAAGCAACAATCAACTAGGAACATACTCAGAAAGCTTGTTAAACCGTAAAAGTACCACGATAACCATGTCGAAAATATTCAACAACCAAAATCAGAACTTCTTATATCTCGATACAAAGCATAATGACACGATTCTAAGACAATCAATTGCTAAAATTAATGTGAACGTCAAATCAGATCTCACGAAGGATGTAACCGAATCAACGAAGAAAGAGGAAAAAAATCCAACACCACGAGAAGTTTTAACAGATTATCTGGAGAGCACTTCTGTACATGGTTTGCAATATTTCGGTAAAACGAATATAGAAGTCGGAGTTCTTGGGAAGATCCTGTGGGCCTTTACCATATTAACTTGTTTCGTCTGTACTTGTCATTCCTTCGAGGTACGTCATCTAGAAAGGTACACGCGACTAAACGCGCCTCTCGTTTCAGGTTTGAGCTTGATGTTAATGCAATTTTTGCGTCGTTACAACGAGAATCCGACCAACACGTACATACAAACCTTCGATGCCCCGATATTCCGCGCGCCATTTCCTGCTGTAACCATTTGTCCATCTATACCAATTCCTCTGAAGAAACGCTTGGCCATTTTGGAGAACTCCATCTTACCCGAGAACGTGAGCAGAGAACTCGCGTTAGAGATGTTGAAGTGCGTATATATATCAAGTAAAATTATCAAGAAACATCAAGAAATATAGATGAAATAATTTCAAATTGAATACAGCTACGGACATCTTATAACTCATCCGTACATGAATAAAGAGTTTAAACAAATGGACAAATTAAAAGAATTTTTGGATGCCAATAAGTGGAGCGTGGCGAGATTCGTGAAAACTCTAATCAATTGCGAGGACATGTTCGAATCGTGTTGGTGGAGTACGGAACGCATAGATTGCACTAAATCCATTAAACATTCGTACAGTTCTTACGGACTATGTTGCTCCTTTAACTATCTTCTTGAGAATTACGTAGGATCCCAGAAGCAAGTATCTCGATAATATCCTAGAAATCCGAGAAATTATATTAATATAACTAGAATGATTTCTTTCGTTTAATTAATGTAACCAAGATCATTTCCTTCTGGATAATATAAAGGGGACAACCAAAACCGAAGCCTTTGAGTTCCGCTGATTTTGGACTGTGGAGCGGCTTAAAGCTCGTGTTCAATAAAGAAATGTTCATGATCAGCCAAGACGACATGCGTAGTTCCACGAGAGTCGTGAATAGTAATGGCATGGTGGTACGGAAAAACTTCGCGGAACGATCGATTAAGTCGAATTTCAAAAAATATTAATTTACTCACGCCCCTTTTTTCCTTACCAGGTATTGATACATCACAGAATGGATTATCCTGGTCTTAATACTAATATGTACACCTTGCAAGTGAACCATGAGTTGGAGGTAATTTATTCGATATAAAACAGGTAGAGATTACTAGAATGCATTATCGTTGAATTGCAGATCGCCATAAAACCGGAACTCATTCAAAAGCCAGCAGGACTTCAACATCGTAATAAAGAGAAACAGTTAGTCCCCGTATGCATAGCGGAGGATCAGAACACTTTGGAATATTTTTCTGTTTATCGCTACTCGAATTGTTACGCAAATTGTAGAGTCAAGGCCATGATACGGCTATGCGGATGCTTACCATTCATCTACGACAACATAGCTGAGTCCTACAACATCTCAGTAAACACATTCTGTTATCATAAGAAGATATTTAACGCGAACATCAAAATTACAATTCGATCGATTTTTAGCGTTGCGAGATAGAACATTTGTCTTGCATCCAGAGGAATGCGAAATTGATAGGTATCGTGAAGGACATAGAGAACGAGAATTTCACCTGCTCTTGTAGAACACCGTGCGAGAACATGAACTACGATAATTCCCCTAATTTGATATCTCTGACGAAAGCCAGCTTGCCGTGAGTTAAATTCGCATTTATTGATTTATTCTCTAAATTTTTATTTAGACGTTTCTTTTTATTTCGAGCACATTTACTTTCAGGAATAGGACGGACAAAGGTGCTGCGATCAAAGTTTACATGTATTCGCAAACTTTCCAGATACTGCTAACTCTATCAGCCGCCGACGAAACTTATCTCTTAGGTACCGAGCTTAAACATTCTTGTCATTTCGTCATTAAGATAAGTTTCTTTAAAAGCTATTTTACGTTTCAGCATCAGTCGGTGGAATCTTTAGCTTGTTCCTTGGATGCAGCTTCCTCAGCGTCGTGGAGATCGTTTACTTCGTTTACCTATATTGTCGCGCAATCTTCGCGCGTAAGAGGCACGAGGTTCAAACAGACCACACAACCAACGAGATCTTTGTAAACGGTCGCCGACGTGTTTATTAAATCTCAATAAATTCCTCGAACAGATCTAGCAACGTTCTCTCTCCCTGCGAGAATACTTTTGTATCGAAACTGTGGATTTTTCCGATACCGCAAGCTAATAATTTGACCGAACGATTCGTTACGTGGATTCCACACGCGGTTTATTGTGTAACTCAGGCCAGCACACGTAGTCAGCGAGAATCTGGAGCAATTAGATCTATTTCGAGCGATTACTGGAACGCCAACGGAGGCAACGTTTACCACCCATCGACCAGTAAAAATATTTGCCACGCCGTGTTTTCGCTTTGATGTTCTATCCTCGTGGTTATGTCACTTGGTCGGACAGACCTTTAATCAACAGACCCAAGAACTACGAATTCCTGGATTACGTGCGAGGATGGTTAATTGCTGTCTCGGTGCAGCCTACTTGTCTCGATCCGTGTCGAAACCGGAAGTCACGCTTCCCCCGTTGCCTGCCAGCGTAATTAATTCTCGTCATGGCCGTGTAATACGATAGGAACGTTTTGAAAGCGATCTAGAACGGCCGTGGAAAGTTCTGTAAAATTATGCGACGAGAGATAGGAAAATGTACGTTTATTCGATGGTGGAGGAACAGGAAAGGCGGAGGATAATGTTTCTCGTTGTGATACATTGAAGGAAGGGAAGGCGATTAACATTCCTTAAGGGTATTCTATTTATAAGTAAAAATATTCGAGACACTCGAAATCGACGGCAGAATCGGTAACACGATCCACGACAAATAGCAGCGAATAAGTTGCGCAATAACCGTGGAAATTCGGTCAGTATCGCGTGGACGTGTTCATATAGTGGAAATATTCAGGATAGGTGAGATGTGTTCATATCGTCTATTTTCGGAAGTGCTATCGAAAATACCGATTTAGTTTTCTGTACATTGGACGTGTTACCACCGTCGTGTAGCGACGAAAAGAGCTGGAACCATCGGTTGCTATTTTCGACTTAACACCCACGTATTTCTTAACCATCGTACGTATACCCCGAGATGTTTTCTATCTACGCGCGAGCACTCGATATTTTTTCCTCGATTTTTCAGCTGAGTATTTCTTCCCCCTTTATTTGGTTTCCAACATTTACACACAGAGTTTGGCTCGCCATCGGGCGAACGCGTTTCCACGTGTGTAACCAGCCTCGATAGTCGTCCCTGTGCGGTACAATTTTTCAAATTTACGAGAGAAACATATACGGGTCCCTTTGATCATCGTACTAGTACAGTCACGTCCCTGTTTCTGACGAAACCATCTTAAATTTGGCTATTCCTTTTATTAGAAATAGAACTATCTCTTTGACGTCCAATTATCGTGTCCGTGAAATACATAAAATCGTAGGGAAAAAGGGTAGACGAACATGAAACTCATAGAGAACGTTGAAAGAGCTTAAGTGGATTACTCTTGTCTCCTTCATTTTGAAACAGGTATCGTCGCAAATGCGACGCGGAGAGGGAGCAGTCGTTAATTGGATGAAGGAAAAACTGGTATCTGGCATATCCTGAGTAATAGTAGATCTATCAAGGATATCTGGTTATCGACGAACGTGTGTGGTACTCTTCGTGCTTCTTACTTCACTCCTAAAATCAACAAAAATAAAAATGATAATATACAACACTTTACTATGAAGCAAAGATTTTGTTGTAAAGTAACAGAGTGCACCATTGTTACGGAGACTTCAATGATCACTACAATAGGAAGCAGGCGTTACGTAGCAATTGTCTACAAGGGATAATCGCAAGCGAACTTACCATGGCGAGGAATGTATTCTAGAGTTAAAACAATCCCGAGTACAACAACCAGAGGCAAATCAGCAAGAGGATCAATATAAAGTACGTGGTTAAGATGTTTTTCGTTTCGTGGGCTGCCTGTGGCATTTTTCGGCATTCACAGAGGATGATTCACGACACTAAAGAAAAATCAGTATCAGGTGTAATCACGATATACATATCAAAATATTAATACCCAAAATATTAATCGTCGTGTTGAATATTTCTTTTTTATTCCTTCTGGCGCCTCTTCCGTCAATCGGTCGATTAAACGAAAGTTCGAAAAAAGATCACGGCACCCTCAAAAATTCGCTCGACGACTGAAAGATTCGGCTGATTACCGGAAACGTTGGAGTCAGACGATGAAATCTGAAAACGATCGAGACGAATAACCAAGCACCGCGCCACTTTGCGTACGATCTTCGACTAGATCACTCAACGCAGGATTCACGATACAATGAAGATCCCGAAATTCCTCCAGGAACCGTATGAAATCCCCACCAGTTCGATCGCGGATACCGACACGTTGCACCTTCCCTTATAACATCTGATCCAGGATTGGTAGGCCGAGGTCCCACCACCGTCTTTTACTGGTGAGAAACCAACGAGTTCCGCCACCTCGAGTTATATTAAGCATCGTGAATATCGGATACAACTTCGGTGGAAAATATTCCGAATCGATTCATGATCATCATCGACGTAAAGATATTCGAGGGTTCAAGGTCATCTGGCTGACGATTACGAATCGTTAAGAGTCAACGGTCTCTTAGAGGCATCATGGCAATGTGAGAAATTAACCAAACCTGAAGCATTAAAATACGTCATAAATTACATTGTCTCTAGTATCTCAAATTATGAACTTTTCTAAGAAATATTTGATTTAAAGTGTTTTATATACCTTTCATACACCTTTTGAGGAAAAATGTCAGAAGCAATGAAGATACAGATTTATCCACAGTTCTACGTACAAACATTCTGCAGTCTTTTTATTTCTTTTTCTTTATTGAATGATTTATCAATGAATCACTCTTACTGATTTTATCTCTGTACAAGTTACAGATTGCTCTAATGGTTTGATGTATTAAATAGGGCTCGCAACGTAAATGGCAAGTGCGTAAACGTGCGTATCAGCGTTACGGCCAATACAACACAAACCAGCCGTACACCGCCGGTGCGTTAATTTAATTATAACACGTCGCAAGAAACGGTCGATGTCATTTAACTATATACTAGAGACCAAAAGGAATCAACTCTTATTTTTAAGCGAAAATTACTCCCGCCCACGCGTCGAACTTGGAATGTTGACAGAATTCACGTGCTGGCGCCACGGTATTTCCCACGTGACGAAGTATAACAAAAATATAAAACCTTTTCCGTAAAAAAAAAAAAAACATTCATGATTCACAAAAATATTCCAACGCGACGGTCTATTATTTTCTTCCAAAATGATAGCAATCTCTTAAAGAGAACAAAGATAATGGAAAAGATAAAGAGAATTTCTAATCGATCTTTCTTGAGTAATAGCGTTTAGTAGAGAGGAGTCTTTCGATTTGATTGATGGCTAGAGCTATTTTAATCTCCGACGAAACTCCGTTCGCGTAGTTTTAACATTTGATTAAGCTACGCAGAGCAGTTCCTCTTTAGCTAATGTACGCTAACATCGTTCATCATTTCCAGACCTTCGGCTAATTTTAACTTGAAAATCAAACATTAACCTTATAATGGACAAAGCTCGCGAACAGGTCCGATCTAAACTTCGGACAGCTATTTACGTAATATTTGCCAGAGACACACCTAATTCATCGATTTTCATCAAATACAGACTAATACTACACTTTAGTCTTACCACGTGTATTTATGTATAGTAAGTAGGACATTACACAATTTTATAAAATATTTCTTTATTTCGCTCGCGATGGAATTACAGTAGTGTATCGGTAAAAAGAAAGGCTTGGGTGGTAACTTATAGTATACGCTATACAATTGATTAATTATAGGAATGTGTGTCGTACAATTTTTGTATCCTTATTACTAACATACGTAGGTACACAAATATGGCGGGAATTCTGTTACAGGTTTGCTTAAGGCACAATCCACAAGATCTTCTGTTAAGTGTCTACATAGGTAAGGCGACATTTGCATCAATAACATCCGTATATTTAATACCTATAGACACGAAGAAGATCATTCTCGAAAGTAATTATCAACAGTTGTTTCATTGGCACAAACAATCTATCAACCGGTTTTTATATCCTTAAATTCTTGGCACGGGAGCTTCCGCGTGTTTTAAAAATAAGAACAACGACAAAGAAGGAAAAAGATCTTTCTGCTCGACTAGCGGCTACCTTAAAGATTTGTGAAACGACCGGTTCGATGCTGCTTCAGCATTGTTCTCTGTGACTCGATTGATTAATTAATAACTACGAGCATAAATACGATGGAAAGACCCGTACAAATGATCGTACGCGAACTGGTTATGCTTGCATATATTGAGAACAGAACATATGGAAACGAACAAATACCAAACTATTTAACCGTTAGCGCATCTCTATTCATAATTTGAAGCGTATTATTCACAAAAATCCTCGATGAAAATTCAGTCATGCCAACGAGAATCCCAGCACGTCCTCCAATGAATAATCGAACAGCCTTAGGTCTAATTTATACAAATCTGCCAACTTTCGAAGTTGCTTGTACGTCAACGTAGAATAATACTTTTCTAGTTTCTTCGCGGTTGGTTCACTGTTCACTGGTTTCGTTGGGAAACTATAAAAATAATTAATTTTGATTAATCAGAATCAAAAGGAACGATGCAAACGACCGATTTTGTTTCGCGTGTTGATCAAAGAACAATATACACGTAGCAACGAAATAGAAAGTAATGAATTAAGTAGGAATATTTCTTTGAAAGGAATGAACATTCATAGTCGGACACTTTGATTGCGCCAACTACGCGATATTGCTTCAATAAATATCGCATATATTTCTAGATAGGAATTGAATTCTACAAATAAACACCTAAAAAGTATATATATTTTCTTATATAATCCAATAGATTGCTGGAATAAATGTGGAATGCTAGCGCGTGTAATGCTCTCTCGTAAAATAATCATGCGTGTCATGTTTATGCGTGAAATATTCTAGCGTGTAATAATCGCGTGAAATACTAGCATGAAAAAATTCGCTCATCTATATCGGATCTAAACAAGGATAAAGTAAACGCTTACTTGACTGACTCGACTCCCATCCGTTCCAAAACTTCTGTGGCATCTTCAACTAAGCTCTCGTACTTGCTGACGAGATTATAATTAACCAGGCATGGATGACAGAGCTCGTAAATTGGCTTCCAGTGCTCGTTTCGTGTCTCATTCGACGAATCATCTGTGACGAACTGTACAAACTCTCTAAATGTCACGTCATCGCCATTTCTCAGCGATTCTACAGTGGCGTTTTGTCTGTACCTCTGCAAGAAAGAACGTTCTCACTGTAATTTCTTTGATATCTCTCTCATGCGAGACAAGAGGGAAAAAGAAACAAAAATTAAGCGATACCCTGATAATCTTCTTCCCAAAACGAGTTTGGAAGTATCTCGAACTCTTCTCGTGTTTCGCCTCCAGCTTGTTTCTATAGGCGGACAGTAACCTTTCCAAAGGATGCCTGACGACGATCAGCTTGTCGTAAGTCGCCAACATTCGTTCTATTTCGGACAAGGTATAGTTGGTGAGCCTTTGAAAGGTACCTGGAGAATGCGCCTGATCAGCAGGTATTTCCATAGGATCATTACCTGGCCATTTCCCCGTGGCCACCATCAGAACTCGTTTCCAGTTCGTGCACGCAACCTGATACACGAATCCGTCGATTTAGAATGAAACAAAAGAACCACAATAATATAACAGATAACGTCCGTAATGATCGTGTACGAGTTGTAAAACGCTTTGCTATACAATTTCCAGTTACTTACTTAATATGTTTGAAGAACGACATTATTGGAAGTATTGTAGAGAAATCAAGCTTTTTGTTAAAGATCAGGAAAATATATTATTATTAGTTATGTTTAAGAACGAAATGTGTGATATTTTGCTAAACATTATGAATCTGTTGAAATCAAGGGTCGAAATAAAGAGTTATCTTTCGTTTTTAAAAAAAATTCTACTCAAACTTATATGTTTCGTTTAAGATAATATTTGTTTCCGTGGAGTTTTTATGCAAAGACCCTTAGAGGCTTCTTTAAAAAATGTTCTAATGGAATGTATATTTTTGAATGTGTATAATAAAAGTTCCATGGTAACAAGTTATTTTAAACCGTGTATTAAAAAAGATCCATAAGATAAATAAAGCTAATAAGCTATTTAGTACTAATTATATTTAATAATAGTACTAATTTTATTAAATAATAATAATTATTATTCATATGTTTATTGAATGAAAGGTATGAAAATCATAATATAAGTAATTAAAAATTTCATAATAAGTACTCAGCAAAAAAGAGGACTTGTTAAGAATTATTATTCTTAGCTAGATAAGACTTTTTTATAATGTAAATAATCTGAAATACATAGCAATTCTATAATATAATATACATATAGATAATATATATAATACCATGTATGTATTCAGTAACATTCCTACCTTCCTAACTGTTATTTTCATTATAAATAAATATATCGAATTGAATTTAACAAATATTATAAATAAATAAATAACATATTCAGAATATTCAGAATATAACTGTAATAATTAGTTAATATCGTTGTACTACTATTCATTGGATGGTATTTGTTACACTAATTAAGAACCTTTTAATACTAATGAATATTGATTTAATATTGATGAATAAAATATCTCTTCTTGTTATAAGAAAATCTTTATTTTTATATTTTATAAGCTCTATCCAAATTAAAACTTTTTTTTCAAGAACTTTTCTTTATCTATCCTCATCGAAACTTATAATGTGAGAACATTTTCTAAAAAAGTTCCACGGCCCATGTTTTAAATAGAACCTATCAAAAGGTTTCATAATTCTTTCGATTCTTGGCTGAAATATTATTTTCGTAAAATTACCTACTCCTTTTCTTGCTTCCTTTATCTAGAATTTATTTGTACCTTGGGAACATAACAATATAAAAGTTCGTGTTGTTCGTCGACGAGAATATTCCTAAAGGATTCTGGATTCAGATTCTCATTCAGAGAGTCTCTGTCTTCGAAGATCTCCTCGCAATTGTACTGTAATCTCTCCTGACGTTCCACCAAAGCGGATCTCGCCAGGGCGTTCGGTCCTGTCCAAGAGTATACAGAATCCTCCGTCTCGAAGGATCTTCCTTTCTCATCGTTCGTCGAAGTGCGTCCCCCAAATGCGCTCGTATCTACCATTAAACTTGAAATATTGATAAGTAACAGAACTGTCCCCCAGACACGGCATTCTGTCATCGTCCTTTCCGTCCACCCGGGACATTGATTTATCTTGATATAGAATTATTTATCAAGCGTTTTTATTTGTTCAAATGTTCCTGTAAAGTTCAAAAATACGTTCCATTACAAACGGAATTTCTTACGTATGAAAACATCGTTCAAAAAAAAAGAAAAGAAAAAAGAATGAAAGAATGTTATTTTGAGGTACGTAAAATGTTTGCTTTCGCGATCGTGTTATATGCTTTGCCGAGTCAATTTTAATCGCTTGAGAAATACCAGCAGCTCAGCCACCTTACTTCAATTAAACGTCATTGATGTCAATTCTCCCGATTCCAGCCATGCATTCACTCTTCGTAAATCACGCACAAACTCAACGAATTATTTAACCATTGCGAAAAAGAAAACAAGAAATAAGTTAAAGCACATTCGATAATTATCAATGCAGTCGAAGCATAGAACGATCTATATCGTAACCGGAATCCAAAAGACACGATAATCAGGTCAAGCGCCACCGTTTCGAATTCTTTTCCAACTAAAGTCCTTTAAAGCCGGTTCTGAATGGACAGCGCACGGTACATTTGACATCTAGATATCTAGAGCATACTTCTCTAACAAGCTGCAAAAGTGGGCTACGTTTAATTCGAAACGGCTTGAAGCTATACCACTTTTCCGCGAAGAAAAAATTCATCCGATCTCACGGGAGAAGACCTGTTCTAAAATTTCATAATACATACATATCTCTTTTAGGCCATGACACCATTTCTTTGCAAAGATTAAATTTAGATTAATTTATTAAACGTTAGTATGTAAGTTCAAAAATAGATTACGATAACAGAGTATCAATTTCTGTTACGTAACGATTTTCTATGGAATAAAAAAAGTAGACAGCATTATAAAATGACACTGTATTCATAAAAATTGAATAAAATACTCGATAGACTGGTTAATAAATTTTTGCACAAAAATTAAATATTTTGCACTCATCAAGATAATTTTGTCATCGTACGGCATCTTTCTATATTATCATCTTACTTGTAACATCCTACAAAGATTTAAGATAACAACTATGGGAACTGACAAGTTTCATGCAAAAAAGCATCCTGATCTAAATATCTTCTGGATTCATGAATGGAGACATCGATATTCATGGCTATGAAATTACTATGCCCGTTATAACTGATCCTTAGTTATCGGTGACGCTTCAGCTGTTAACGCCGACTCTTAACGTCAAAAAGACCATAGAAAAACAAATAGACGACATTTTTACAATCATTCTAACAATTATCGTTAGATTTATTTCGAAATTCCCTTATCCAAGTAATTATGAACGAAGGATTAACGGCGAACGAACGAGACTCATATAAATGAGCTAACCTCTCGATAACCTTCGACCATGATATCGGTTGAAACTAAAATACGAAAGTGAACTATGCTGCAGATGGAATAATAGACATTAAAAATTCATTACGTCAATAAAGCGGTCTAATAATCGAACGACATTACCAATCGAATCTCCTATTCCATTATGCAATGGCATTGGAACTCGTTCTTGACCGTATCGTGCGAGTCCTCCTTCTGATTAAGAACCATAGTGATAAATACTTACGTTTATCTTTTGCATCAATAGAAATTATCGATGCCACGAGATATCGATATTCGTCGTGCTTAACTGTCAACACGAACACGCGAGCAGTCGAGCCGGAAAATTACTCGAACACGCGTCATCGTCCTCAAATAGTCGAAAGATGAAAGAGACTCACCTGTTAGGCGTCAACAGATTGGACCATGCGCTGTCAAATTCTACGTGGCATGTTTTGCTGGCTAGTACACCTTCGTAAAGACTTTATCGAACGTCCCCCAAAATTCTTGGGAATTCGTTCCAAAAAATATCGCGGACAAACTGCCTCTTAGATAAAACGACCTACATTTAACTGAGTTCACATCCAGTCAAATTTTTTAATCTAATTTGATTAATCGATGACAAACGCGTGGCGCGAAAAGTCACTAGAAACGCCGAAGATTTCGAGATAGACACACGACATGAAATACTTCGGACGGTCGAGCCGATACGATGGACAAACGGCTATTGCCTTGACTCGGAGGCCCCTCTGACATAAGAATGGAACGTGGTGCCAGTTTGTAGAAGTGAAAGAAACTGTGCGCGCGCGTCTATTACGTCCCATCCTCGTTTCTTCGCTGGCAAACGTGACGATCCTTTTTCTTCACCTGTGTACCCACTTTCCGAGGCTGGGGTTGCCATGAATTCGTCTGGTAAATATTGCAAAATTTGATTTCTCATCATTAAGATTCCCTAAGTTCGTTGAGATAGTCATAGAAAAATTACATGGTATAGAAAACATGCATATCATAGAAGGACAATCTTAATCATAATATAAATTGTTGACTATTTCATATACAATTCGTTCTTTTTTCCACTTCGTATATAAGGTGAAAAAAAATTAAATCTGAATAAATAAGTGCAATAATGACTTTGACCTTGTTAATTACTAGCATTTAGGATTTTCCATTCGCTGCAATCGAATAACATGTGATCAATAATTACAAAGAATAAAAAATTAATGAGATGCATAACAAATGCAAGAGTTCTAATCAAATATATTTCTACCGACAGATCTAGCGTGAGTCGACAACAAATAGTCGCCCAGAGAAGGTAAAACAGAAATAATTCTATCATTTTGCACTTCGTACAGGTAAGGAACCGAATTATAGTCACCTGTTGGTCCGTCACGTCGTTTATACCAACTGGAGAAAGTGTTTAGCCTTCAGTCGCCTTTTGTACCGTCAACCTATCACAAGTAGCTTCAGTCTCGTTTCAGTCTTTGTTGACTAACCATCGCCTAAAAGTAAATAAAACAAAGTATCGTAGGGAGTTAAAGAGATTATCGTCGTTAGCAATATTGTATAAAATCGAGTAAACCAGTGAGGAAAAGCAGAACTGGGATTTTGTGAAAATCATACCATGCCATGGTCGTAATATATTATTGCTATCATATTTGTTTACGAGAAATATAACAGTCCAATAATTTAGGTAACATAACACATTAAAAACGCGAATTATGCTTGTAATTCTATATATAGAAAATAAATTATAAAATATTTTAAACTGATGAACTAATAGTTTAAAGATTCTTCATCATCATCGAAATTATTTTCTTGTATAAAAAGTTCATATGATCAATCTTCTCGATTTTATTTAAATTAGAACATAAAATGTTTTGCAGACAACAACCTCCTATCATTTTGTTCGGAACTATAAAACGAGATAATTACTTCGAAGGGAAATGCTACAAGTTGTATTCTGGCTATTCGTCATTGTGCTGGTATTGTGGTCGTTTTCAAATTCTGCAAGCAGAATTTGTGGCGCGCTATGGGAGATCCTCGTGCCGATAATTAATTCGAAACCAATCGATCTACGAGCGAAATTCGGCGATTGGGCAGGTAAGAATTACTCAAATATATAACATATGTATTCGTCAAATATTGAGAAATATTTCGTTTAAGTCGTAACCGGGTCCACCGATGGGATTGGCAAAGCTTACGCAAAAGAGTTGGCTGCAAAAGGAATAAACCTGGTGCTAATCAGTCGTACTCTAGAGAAATTGGAAAAAACAAAAAATGAAATTATGGAAGAGAATCCGACGATCAAAATAGAGGTGATCGTGGCGGATTTCAGCAAAGGCAAAGAAATTTTTGAGGAGCTTGCAAAACAACTGAAAGATATTCCAATTGGTATCTTAGGTAACTGAGACATCCTCATCATTTATGTATTATTTATGAATCTGAATTTATGTATTATTTATTTATGAATGTTTCTAAATTTAGCTTTTTACGCAACATGATATTTATTTGTTGGAAGTCGTTAACGTAAAATAAAATGCTCGTCTGGTTATAAATATAATCCTAGTTCAACGTTCTAGTAAACAACGTAGGTACGCAGTATAGTTATCCGATGTATGTTGGAGAAGTCCCAGAAGACACATTATGGGATATCATCAATGTCAACGTTGGAGCTACTACATTAATGACACGTATAGTCATCGGACAAATGCAAAAACGTGGAAAAGGCGCTATCGTTAACATATCATCCGGTTCGGAATTTCAACCATTGCCATTAATGACCGTGTACGCAGCAACAAAGATTTACATCAAAAGCTTTTCTGAGGCGCTCAGAGCCGAATATTCCAAATGTGGAATAACTGTACAGCATTTGACTCCGTTTTTCGTAAATACAAAGATAAACGCGTTCAGCGATCGATTACTGGTAAATCGAAGATAAATACGTGAAAATAAGTGAATTAATTTGCAGATAATGGTTGTAATTAATTAATAACGTTACAGGTATCTAGTATTTTTATTCCCAGTACGACGACATATGCCAAAAATGCGATTAACACGCTTGGAAAGACAAATTCCAGTACAGGCTATTGGAACCACGGGATTCAGAAGATCATTGTACTACTTTTACCGGTACAAATAAGAATAATATTTGGAATGTTTATGAATAAGACTTTGAGGAATGACTATTTCAAGCAGAAAAGAAGTAACTAACCACCAGACAACGTGTAGTTGTCAAAGAATTGTCAAGAGTATATGTATATTTGATAATTGTTACGAAGTTGAGTCCTAATATACATAGATATACGATGTACACGATGTACGAAGTGCAAAGAAATATCATTATTTCATGTATTTGATATGATTTCTTATTAATTACTTGACTAATCACATAGAGGAATATGAAATTCATTGTCAAGGATTAAAATTCCCTCGTATTTCGAAACAACCACTCATAAATGTGTTTTAGAAAGTATGATTACATAATAAATGTTTTTTATCAAATTGAAAATATCTGTTCGTTATTTATGTTAAGTATTGCAAAATATCCCTTTCATTCTCCATTTGTGTTGCATTGCCTTAAGAGTTGCCATCTCAATCTCTGCACTAAGTCGTATTTCTTTTTCGAATAATAAAGTTTAATGACTATAAAATAAAAAATATAAAAAGATACGCGTAAACATATTTTATCGAGAGATAACACGTCCTATATATCATTAAGCCACAGTTCTTTTAATTTGCGACGAAAACATTTAAATTATAATGTATTTTATATTACATTTAAAAACTGCCACTAAATTTTTAATAATTATATATAGAGTTATAATACTGTCAAATCAAAGTAGTAATTATAACAATACGCATAGAAAGTAAAAAAAAAGAGAAAATATACGATATCGCAGTGACATAACCTGCGCAGAAAATCCATGAAAATGATTCAAACTGAGCACCTTTGCGTACGCATTCCCTAATCACGTGACCTCAGCGGTCAAATTCTCCGAAAGAGACGCTCATTCGCCATCCATGTGTCACAAAGGAAAGACGTTTGAATATTTTCTATATTTCGCATCACGAGCAAGATGAGTCAGTAGTTCACGAAACAGCTTGCACACGCAAGTGTGCCGACACGACTAATTAATCATGGAGTAAGTAATATTTATCATCCAAAAAAAACTAATTTTGTATTCGATATTCGGATCATTGTACGATATGTCTGCCATTTTGTGGATCGTATCCATGTCCGAGGTCCGGGACTACCATAGATCGCTTAAACTTAAAAAACACTCCTTTCACCAACTAATATGCATCTTTTTCCCTCAATGTTACGTTACTATTACACATTACGTTCCAAAATCAGGTTATGGCACGATTAAGTCACGAAACATGATCAAAAAATTTGGCCAGATGACATGATCTAATGTTGCGTCATGAAGATGTAATTGATCATTTTTCTCACATTTTATATTTTATTGTTTTAACTTATGTAACGAATAAACGATACAGTTACGTGTATAGATGATGTAATTTATTAATAGTCTCCAATTAATAAATAATTCATTTTTCATGTCTCACATTATGTTTCCATTATGTTTTTACTTTCTTCTGTTTTAGAATTTGCAATTCAAATTTCAAATAATAAGGTGTCTCCTTATATCATACTTGAAATATTTAATAAGGAACAAAATGCATTTAATAACATAGAATTATTCAATTTGTCATATGTATTTGTTTACATTATCCTTAATACATATTTAATATTTTCAGAGCCAATATGGCGCTCATTTTGAGCTACGTCGCACAGCCGACACAAATTTCTTTTCATCTTTTTTTAACACATCTTGATTGGGACTATAACGACAATGACATCCAATCAGGACCAGGAAAGTTGGCTATGGAAGTTCGAGCCAGTATCCCCTAGTGGGACACTGTCGAATGAATTTGAAGATGATTGGTTTTTATTTGATGATAAATCTGTAGATCCTACTAAAGAAGTTGCTACACCTGCTGCATATGAGAACCATCCTACTCGTGCACAAGTGGCTACAAAGCTTCTGGAAAAATTAGATGAATGGATTAAAGAAGGTAAGAATATTCATATAAAATTCTTACAAACTGTATTGACCTTATAATAAGCCTATACACATTAATTTATGAACAAATGAATTAGAAATATTAAAAGTTTAGGATCATATTGCTCGTATATCTTACGTCTAATTTTTGTAATCAGTTACTATATCAAAATATTTTTTTTAGATTTATATACATTCTAAACATAAATGTAATCTACTAATTCAAGTTTATAATCAGTACAATGTAAACTACTGCAACTTTCATTTTAAGTATAATGGAAAGACAAAATTGTTTTATATAAACATCAAACTATGTACTTAAAAAGCACGTATTTTGCAAGCAAAAATATTTATATAGAGATCTATATGTTGGTTTAAAAAATGCATGTTTCCTCAACTGTATTTTAAACTTTTTTATGCTTGAATTACTTTGAGGATAAGTAGAATTGACATAAGTCTGAAATTACTGTAATATGCTATGTCCAAAACGAACCATATGTGAATGTGAAGAACGAATATTTCTAATTGATTTTTATATATATATATATAAACCGTCTAATTGCAATTATTGCATTTATTAAACTAGTGTCCTGTAGTTTTCAAAATTGTATGCACTTAAAGCATAGAAATTAAATGTTAGCGTTTTATCCGGCTGCATTGTCGATGTATTCCTATCGCTTTCGTTCTTCTCACTTCCTCTACCATGTATCTTATTTTCCTTTCTTTTTTTCTGGAAAGGAGAGTGGGACAAACTGGTTAACCTCTATACAAACGGCTTTGGTTGAAGGCCGATAGGGGAATGACGTGTGTTTTAACGGTGTTGGAGTAGGGGCGTCAGAGGGGAAAGTCCAAAGATAAGCAGGAGTGGTCTCTCGCAGTATTGCAAGCTGATCGTACGATTCTGTCTATTAGTTTCATTACAAGTCAATTTCCTATCGATACTCGATCGTTTGACAAACTTAATACATTTTGTTATTGTTTTATATTTATCAATAGTCTGGCAAAAATCGTTTTTCTATACGAGTTAAGAAAGATTTCTATCTCTGTCAGTGTAGTAGAATCTGTCACGTTCATTATAATTTGAAACGTGAGTCGTCGACGATGTCAGTGATCTAAACAGCCGAGAAAATTGACTGTTTAATACTTTATTGTGAATCATATACAGTATTGTATTTAAGTTTTAAACGTCTATAAACATTATTCATTTGAAAAAGACAAAATCGAATTCATTTCGAATGTGAGTTTTTCATAACATACGTTAGCCTATTGCACGTGCTCACAATATTTGTTTCGATCGATAGTGGAACTCCGAACTACATAAACTGATAAATATTAAATTTCAAACCAGTTTCCGTCGGACTGAAACCATCGTTTATGGTGATTTTTAATTGATCATATTGATCGATAATCGATGACAAGTGATTGGTGAAGTGCGTAGTATCCCATGATCGTATAATTTAAATTGATCGCAAGAAATACAACCAACGAAACTGAATAATATGCATATAATAGTTAAAAAGATTCGTGTCTAGAACAAGAATTTTATCAATACTGGCACCTTTAAAAGTGAACGGAGAAAAAGGCCTAGCTTCTCGATGCTGGAGTGTGCTAATGTTGTATAATAGCATGCAGTTCGCATATCGCTACACGTGGAACCGAGAAATCATTGTCAACTCCCAAAAACTTGTAAAAAGACGTTGAATCGGTACGATTCGCGTCCCATTGGTGGACTTGGCTGCTTTACGTCGACGAAAACCACCATATTTATTAAAAAAACAGTTTTTTTATTTCATTTAATTATAACACATGTATACCCCCCCTCTTTTCTTTCTTTTAAATAAGAATTTAGACGAAAACAGACACACGTGATAATGGCTGCTATATGTTACAGTGGTACGTTTCCTTTCGCTTGTTTCATTTCCTCTCTCTTTCTAGCATTCGCTCCAATGAAAAAATATCTTTATTACGCATATCAGAACGCTGTTGCCACATTGTTCTTATAATCGAATAACAGAATTGGATCGAATCTATCGATGTCTACAAACAATTGTTATGAAATTACTACATTGTTAAATTCGTCTATAACTTAAAATTTCTTTAGTTATACATTATGTGTAACGTTATTGACCGCGCGTAACTATAAATTTATTTTCGATGATTGACTTTTTAATTTGAAAAAATATATTTTTGATATTATACACAACATTTTCTCAAGTCTCGGACATATATTTAAATTAGTATTTATTATATAGTGTAAAAAAGAAGTATGCCAAATATTTAAATCATTTATATTCGTATTTTTAAATCATTTAATACTTTATCATGATAATATATAAAGGTGAAGAATAATTTATGCTATTTTAAAAACCAGAAATCGAACTTCAGAATTTATTTTTAAATAAATTTACTTAAAGTTATTTTATTTTATCATTTTTTAGTGGCAAAATAGTAATATTTACAACAACTCCTTACAATAAAAAGAGGACATTCTTATCTAACCCCATGCCCTCTGTATTTAAATGAAGATAACATTTAAAGTTAGACTCTGATCCAAGATCCAACAAGAATTAGGAGATAGGATTTATTTGTAGACTAAGTTTTCATGTAGAAATTTTTTTGATATTTCCCTTGACAATCGAATTTTACTTATCTGGAAACTGAACAAGAAAATTGAAATGTGACAAACAAAGAAAATCGAATCTGGCTACATCTCAAAACTTTCCATTGATTTTTTTATTTACAAATTTAATTTGTAAACTTAAATTTCAAAGAAAAAGTGGATCTTTTTTTCAATTTTTGAAGACACCTTCAGACATTATTGAGAAGTATATTATATCTTCGATAACAATTATGCTCTACATAACCATGCTACTAATGTATTAGTATTGGTTGTCGTGTTAGAAGCCAAAGAAATTGCAAATCAAGAACTTGTTTTTCTAGTTAAACTAGTAACGTCCATGAAATTATATATACATCAATGTACCACTCCTACTTATTCTTTATGCAAGATACAAGTAAAAGTACTGTTAACTCCTAAGTTAACAAGTTACACAAGTATTGTTTTCAATTTTTATCTATTTACTTTCATGTTCAAAAGATTAATAAGTTGTTAATATATTTGCTTGAGACATCTTTCATCATATTTTTCTAATAATTTTGATCACAAAATTACAAATATATTTGACAAAATAAATTCATGTAAATACTGCTATTTATCAAAATTTAATATGCTATCAATATTTTTAATGATATAAAATTCCTATGATTCAGATCTGTAAAAAAAAAGAGAACACAAATTTACTGTTATCTGTTCTCTCCAGTTTCTGTTTTTTATTTGTACATATAAATTAATTACAAAACTAAATGGTATCTATTTGTATTTGATAAAATGATTCATTTTTTACAGAGCCTTTTTCAGATTGGTTAGAGGAGAAGATAGAATTACCTATATTTGAGGAACTCTCAGTTGCTGAAACTGGACAAATCAAAACAACAACATATAATGAAATTCCAAAAGCTCCTCTCCATCATGATGACACACAAACTCTCTTACAAGAGTTTGAAACCGTTTTGGAAGATGTAGAAGCTTGTCATCAAATAGTCCCTTCATCAAGTTCCACACTTACACCTCCTCAATCACCTCCACCACATAAACCATTAAATGTGGATACCCAATTACTTGTTACTTTACAACCTGTACAACCATTATATCCTAATCATCAACCCATATATGACATAGCAGTTCCAGAGGAAAAATCGTATGTAAATGAAGTACCTGTACAATGGCATCCAAAAAGTGTACCATTGGAGGATGTTGCACATGACTTAGCTGTTGTAGACGAATATGTACGGTTGTATACAGAAGATATTCCACCATCTAGTCCTTGTACTAGCTCAGGTGGTAGCTACATTTCATCGGAAGATTCCGTTGACGATCCAGATTGGATTTTAGAATCCGAAAAAAAGAGTGCGAAACAATCTACATGTGCTTCAACGAAGAATCGTCAGAAACCTTATTCCCGTCCATCGATCGAAGATAAAAAAGTTCGAAAAAAAGAACAAAATAAAAATGCGGCAACACGGTACAGGCAGAAAAAAAAGCAAGAAATAAAAGATATATTAGGTGAAGAACGTGAGCTCACTGAATACAATGAAAAACTGAAAACTCAAGTAACAGATTTACAACGAGAAATTGGGTACTTAAAGGGTTTGATGAGAGATTTATTTAGAGCTAAGGGTCTTATCAAATAATCTATTTTTATCTATTATAGTTATATTTACTCATTTTTATTAAATTTATTAATCATTCTTTTGACATTAACTTTACAATAATACTAATATGTTGTAGTGTATAGACTTAGATTACTGATTGTTATTTTCTCTTCTTTAATTAGCCCACATATATGAATATCAATCTAAGATCTATCACAGCTTTTTAGTAGGACTACAGAACTGTCATTGTATAATTCATGAATTATATACCATCTCCAACTCATTCACGATCCGTTAAAAATTAGCAAACAAGATGCATTAAATAATGACAGAATTTTTTAAGTATACAGCCCTATGAAACTCATTCGAGTGGAAATTTGCTGTTACTAAAAATTCTATTTGTAATTTGATGCATCTTAAATGATGCAAATGTTTCATTCCAATCAATTCTAACCCAAACAAGTTTTGAATTTTCTTACAAAAAATATTGTATTAAAAAAATAATAAATGGGTTATTGTGTAATAAATGTTGACATTATTCTCAAAATTGTCCCTGTTTTGTTAATTTCCTAAAATTTTACACAAAATTAAGTTCTATAGTAATAAATCCGTGTATGCGTTGATTTTGAATATCAATTATTCTAAAGATAAAAGAATCACTTTTATTGTTATTTACATCTATGTATATATATTTCATATCTAAAATCAAGACAATAGAAAAACTGAATTTTAATCCTTCCAACCGTGCGTCGTTTCAATTATTACACATGAAAGTAAAAATAACATGTACATTAATGTTAATTGATTTGAAAAAAATAATATATATAGAACGAAGATAGATGTAATTATAGGAAGATCATAACTTTTTTTAACATTAATTGCTTATGTATCATATTAGAATTAATACGAAAACGTACAACTAATAAATCGTAAATGATTTATCTTAATCATTTATTTAGTTTTTAATTTGATATATTCTTTATTTTATATTTATATTCGACTTAAGCTGACTTCTGTGCAAAATTGCACCAACACAGATACAGGTATTTTTATATATGCATTATATATATATATATCATGCGTATATTTACATATCATGATCAATAACATACACAGTTATACATGCTCAAATACAGATTATATACAGTTATTCTCAATGATACAAGAGAGATTGTAAATGTATGTCTATTTAGAAATTTTCACGTTTACATAATCTATTTCATTTTTTATTTAATAATTCATTGTTATTAACTAATCACATACTATGATTAGGCAACGCTAACTTTGTGTATGATACATATGTATATGCACTGTATGTTCATTGTACATGCATTTGTGCACGTGAGATTACATGTATATGCACATATAAAATGAGGAAAATCATTCTTACATTGTAATGCAAATTATATCAAAAATTCATCACAACGGATAGACAAATTTCTTAGGCAAAAATGAATATTTTGACAGACCTGGTATTATTGTATATAATTATAGTCAGAAATTGGATGATTTCTTATATGCTTTATAGTAATCTAATTTTATTGTTTATATATTATAACATAATGCTTTTACTATTTTTGCTCTCTATTCTATTATCAATTCAAAGGATTGCTTAAGACACACGGAATAATATCCCTCAAAATCGGGAAACGGTATTTATAAATATATCATTAATAGTAAATATATTAAGTATATATTAATAATGGAATTTTCACAGGTTTTCGTAAATTTGATGTTTTTAAATGTGGTAGAGCTTAACGATTCATGTAGATTGATAATAAATATACATACAATTAATTATTTGCCAATCTAAACGAAGTAGCACTGATAAAACAAAAAGGTCTACAATACAATCAACAATTTATAAAATTTTAAAACAATCATATCTTAATTTTACTGAATTCAGATATAGATATACATTGTTTATTATTTTACATTTATGGATATATTCATAAAACTTTTTTTATATATTAGTAAAAGCGTAAAAGTACATGAACAGAATATTGAGTATTGCTAAAGATTATAACAGCAAATCACATATATATATAACAATTATGAAACAAGCTATTATTTGATGTATACAAAAAAACATTTAAAACAATTTTGAATATGGCAGTCAATCCAATGCAATATAAATATAATTTTCTGGAATGTCATAAACAAAAACTATGAGTATTTACGATACATAGACATTTTGAAAATGAGAAAATATTACTAGAATCTGATAACAGTAAAAAAGTCTTATTAGCTTTCGAAATTTAAATTGTAACTATTAAATATCAATTAGATATTAAGTAGCTTTTAATAAACGTAAATTTCTTATATATATAAAAACAATCATACCATAAATATATATATACAAATATATTGATCCTTTTTAAGCTCATAAGTTTGCAATATGTCAAAATAATGAAAATAATTATTGATTATAAGTAACAACCACAAAAATGATTGAAAACATAATATTATTAAATTTCGCTTCATTTATAAAATTAAATGTTTCGCAATATAGGTATTATATTCCCTTTATATTATTTTTTGTCATACAATTTATGATGCACCAAATTCAATGTATATCTATATAAGTCGCCAATTACGTGCACAGATTGGAAACACTAATTTAATTATTTATCGTAGTGGAGAGGAATTATACAGGAATATTGAAAAACTTTTAATGTTTTCCTACGTTGCAGTATCACCTTCTTCTTGTTCAAGTCTAGATGAACCACATACACGACATTTGCAGCATACAATACATGGTGCGGCCAATAAAAGTAAGGGCGATGCAACGAGCAAGAGTAATCCAAATCCAGCAAAAATTCCAATAACTTGTGTTCTGTGCCAAATAACTGATGCTCGTGAGTGACCCAACTTATTTTTGCACGGTCCTTTGTCGTAATGTCGCAATAGAAAGTCATCCTATATTATTCAATACATTTATAAAATTTTAAAAGTTTTTGAAGAAAATTACCATTATTATACAGCTATAGACAAATTTACTTACATCTAAAGAAGCTAAACAGTACCAACAAAACACATGTTTACATCTTTTACACATCATTTGAGCACATCCTTCATCCTTTTCAATAGGTACAGAACACATAGGACAACATTTGATATGATCACCATCAAATGGTATACCTAAGGAAATATCTGAACAAGGACCAGTATGCCAAGATTCCCGACATATAGAACAGAAATCTGTAGAGCAATTAGGACAATGAACTGGCCCAATAGGAGTTCCATTTGAACCAGTAGCATTTATAGAACATATTGTTTCGCAACCTGCACGTGGACACCAAGCACGTGCTTTATCCATGGATACATCTACATATCATATAAAAAATAGTTAAACTAAATTATACTAATGTTTGTAGCAAGTAAAGTACTGTTTACACACCTCTGTTTAATCGGAATTTATGATGTTTTTCCACAAGTTCAGCACTAACAAGACTTGATATTTCCTTCATGGAAAGTATTGCTCCATGTTCACATTGTGCATCAGGACAACTAATCTCATATGCACCTTCTTCAATTTCAAATTCAACATATGCTTTCATACACTAAAACATGTAAAATACATATGTATAATAACTATATGTATGTATAAATATATTTACTTTAAATAATTTTTCATATGATAATATGTATCAAAAAAGATTGCACATACATCTTTACAATAGGAACAACCACAGCCTTCTATCTTAAATGTTTTAGAAAAAGAAGTATCAACAAGACATAATTTACAAAAGATACGTCCAAGTGCTTGTTGAGAACTTGCAGGAACAAAATTGCCTGCAGCTAAACTGTAGCGGGAACTAGATGCCAATGATAGTAAACTGGAGCAGCGAGAACATACTCGACTGCGATTTATAGGTCTGCCCTCTAAAGCAGAAGTACTTAAACCCACAGTAGTTTCACATTTTCTTAATCCTGTGGGGCCTAAACTCAACCAACTATTACCACGAGCTTCCAAGCTTGCACTACTTTCAGGTCTAAGTAAAGGTGCATCTACTCCTTTACCTACTACAGTTCTCTCTGTCAATGAAAGATTTATAACACTGGCTTCTTTGCGCAATAATGGTAATCTAACTCCAGTAAGTTTGTTAGACTTATCAACTTTTTTCTGACTTGTAGCAACTTTGTTAGAAGAATTGACAGATGTCACAGAACTGGTGGCAGTACCCATATCCATCAGTGGAGCTCGTCGTATGACGAGCGAATGTAGGCTGGGCATCCCCTAATTATCAATGTAGATTTCACTACCAGTTACAGACAAGAGCTATGCTTACTGACTTCTTTTAGACAGTTTGCAACAGCACTTGCCATGTAATGGAAGATATATATAAATTATGAAATTGAGAAATGTCACACCCATGAAACAATTTGGCACTGCATATTTTCAATCCACTCAATCCAGCATAGTTTTACAATATTTTTCATATTTCACCCTCTTAGTTGGCATTTTCGAGTTTTCTTTCATATAAGCTCAAGGTGATTGAATATTGATTTCTATTAGAAAGTTGCGAAGTTGCTGTTTTTGCAATATAGTTGTATTTTGACATAAATTTGCTGACATATTACATTCTTGACTTAATTTCAAAAAAGCTCAAAATCCGAAACAGTTAATGAAAAAAGCGTAAAACTGGTAACCAAACAACTATATAAAAATAAATTCTTCGAAACAGATTATGCATTGCAACTAAAACGGTTGAAAAATATTCCTGTCTTCAAACGTTATTTGTGTTGTGGTTGTCATTTCAAGATATATCGCGAAAGTAAGAAAATTGCTACGTAATATTTCACACATATTAATATTCGAAGAAATAGACATCCATTAATATTTTGAATATCAAACTTTGCAAATGTATGATCATCCCATTAGAATATTGCTCGATTTTATAGTTTTTTTCTAGTTTCACGGGCTTTTTATATACTGTGTCACAAAGTACAGCAAACAGTATACACAAATTACCGACTAACTACTTCCGCCCCCACTTGCTTATACTTTTTTCTTACAATATCGGAAAAAATTGTAGCTACATTCGTATTATGATATACATACATCGCAAAATCATAATTATACTTGCTTTGATGTATTTTCCTATATTTCTAAGAATCATATATTTTATAATATAGAAGATAGTTTATTATACAGTGAAAGTTTAGAATTTTAGTAAAGCATGATTCCAAATACTAGTAAATTTTTTATATGGAGTCGTGATGCAGTTTCATGCAATTTCAAAGTGGTTTTAAGTGTTGGTTGATGATAAGGGTAAATGTTAAACTTAAAACTTTAAACTTTAAACTTAAAAACTTGTTAAAACGTATATCAATTATATTTTTCTCTTTACAATAATTTTTACTATAAATCTAATATATTTCTATATATCTTCGTAAAATTTTGTTCCTTTTTTTAATTTAAGATCTTTATTTTATCCTGTAAATCTTTAGATATAGAAAAAATTGTAACTGACATTATTTTTACAAACTACATCTTTGAACTATAGAATTTTTATGTAAGTGATAACTAAATTTTGAACATTATTTGTGTATAATAAAATTTAAAATTTGTACCAATTGATATTTCTAAATTAATTATTAATTAATCAATTATAAAAGATTAAAAGAAATCTGTAATAAAAATATCATATAGATACTTATCTATGTAAACTAACAATCACAGAATTTAACATATCTGTTACCAAAAATGCGCGAAATTTAATTTAAAATTACATTAGTAATACGGGCAGTATATATCCTACAGTTCCTATATTCGACTTTTTCCTATTGTTGATTAAGAAACTTTTGTAAGTTATGTTAAAATTGTGATAAATAAATATTAGGGAAATCTCACATTCATATTGCATAAAAGAAATAGCAAAAAATTCTGTTTTTTATATGTATTGGTTCATTTCCTTAAAAAAACAAACGTTTTATTTAAAATTGTATAACAATTAGGAATTTTTTAATTATAAACTCATATAAAAAATGAGCAATCATTTTATTATACATTTTTGACACAAAAATGAAAATAAAACTTAAAAATATGATATTAGATAATTATACTCTAGATCATTATATTTTCAATACAAATATTAACAGTCACAACATATAAACATTAATATTTACATACGTAATATGAAGTGATTCGCATAGTTTGTCTTATGTTAAAATCTATGGAGTATTTTATTATTTAACATTTAGAATTTATTACAATTGTATCAAAATTGAGCAAATCATATATTAGCGAGATTCAATTACAATAAGTAACAATAAAAATAAAATAAATTTAGAAAGGGAAAATAAATGGTATTTTATGTATAAAACACAGGAAGCAATATTTGTGAACACTTTCAATGAACAATAGTATTGATAGCAGATTTATACAACAAATATATAATTTTTAACTGTAGCAGTCTTTATGAAAGGTAAATATTGAATTAGTACAAAAATTCTTTTTGACTAGAATATTTTTTCCTGTTTTTGTCTAGATTCTATACTATTACTTAAAGTTCAAAATACGGAATCTAAAATGTTTAATAATTGCTTATTCCACACTATCAAATGATAATACTTCATGAAACATGGCACGAAATTGCATGGAGCCTTCATGCTCCAATTTTGTGAGCAAAGACATAAGGATGTAAACTATATGTATATTGTCAAAATTAAGATTTGTATTTTTTGATTTTATAAATTAAGAGGTGTATAAAAAACGACGGATAAAAATACGTTAGCTACAATTGTATCATAGTTACCAAGGATTGTACGAATTACTTATGATTAAATGGATATTTACTACTATACAACAAATTCGTTTGTAATGTAATCTATACATCATATTTGATCATTATAAACACTTCTGTAATTGAATTAAATATATTTTACATGTAATAAATGTAATAAATTGAACGATAACGCAAAGGACTGTACGGAATTTGTTGTTACATGAGTCATGAACTGTTATAACTGTGCGTAAAAATAATATTGATATAATAATTCAAAATTTATCATATACTTTATAAAGAAATGTTTCCAGGTATACTATACTGTCCTTTTCGGGAATGTATATCAACTGCTCGAACTGCGAAGTGATAATTATTTCCTTCAGAAAACTGCAAAAAGGAAGACATTACAAATATCTATGGAATATACTCTAGTGTTTAAACACAATCTGTTCAAATTACTTGTGTAAGTGTGCACGCCATAGGTAGTGGTAAAGCTCGAACATCGCCTACTTTCTTCCACAATGACGTGTTAGGAGGAACACCAGCAATTTCCTGGTAGGCATACAACTGGTAACTAACAATATCTGCATACTTGTCCGACAAATTCATATTCCAAGATAATACTATTCCTAGATAATAATAATAAATTTTTATATTCTATTAACATTTTTAATAGGTATAAATTTGCAAGTTGTAACATACCATGTGCAACTTTAGAAATTTTTAATGATGGAGCTGGTGGTGAAAGTTTCCAAAGAGGATTTACAGCATAATTACGCGTATCTGGTAAGGGTGCTGGATGCTGAAACAAATACAATTATAAACATACAAGCATAAACATAAGTACCTGTATTATTAAAACAAAACTGTTAATTGAAAGTATACCTTATTTAACTGTACATTAGAAGTAGCTGGAGTCGTTAAAAATCGAACCGTTCCATTTGCAATAGTTGATATTCCTATAAATAAGATTGTAATATATCTATATATTATTTATATTGATGATTTAAACTGAAACTACTTACCCGTTTTATACGTTAAAGTTGGAAATGAAGCTCTACACGAAGTCACAGGCCGTATCTATGATTAGAAATGTTTATTATAAAACTGTAAACTAACTACAAAGCCTTATTTTTCAACTTCATTTTATTAAAAATATGGCAAAAAATATTCATTTTACCGGACTGGAATTTGGTGTTATTAATAATTGCCTTGTTGGCATCACATATGCTAATCGAGGCGCATTCATATTATTCTATAAAAAAGTGTGTAAACATATAATAAAATTATATAAATAATAGATGAAATGAATAATATATCCATATCTTATTATACACTTACCACTAAAGCAGTAGGTGTTGGCTGACTAGCAGGTTGTACTACTCTTATACTAGGCGGTTGACTTGTTATGGCTACATTCCCAGGAATAGTCTGAATTACTCTTTGGAAGCAAGGTTGTTGTGTTTTTTGTGTTAAGTTTACTTGTTGATCAGTTACTGTAGTTGTTACAACTGGTACACCAGTAGTAGCTATAAATTACCAAAGTTCCTTAATATGTTCTTATTCATTTAATACGAAAATATATAAGAAAATTATGAAATTTAATACCTTTACTTTTCTCTTCTTCATCCGTAAGATCAATAAGATCGTTTGCACGAGATTTTGCGACGTTTGTTGTAGTGGATCCTTGACGATTTATCTGATTCGGAAATTTTCCATTTAAAATTATAGCTTGCTGTGATTGTTGTGGTTGTATCTGTTGCTACAGAAACCAATAATAATTTTTTGTCATTAGATTTGTAATAAAAATAAGAAAATTCGAATGAAGTACTTACATTTGATATAATTTGTTGAACATTAGACTGATTTGATAATGTCAGAGGGTGCTGTGAATCTAGGGGTTTAGCAACAACCAAAGCTGCAGGAGTGATAGTAGTCATAATGTTTGGAGATTGAGTATGACTTTGTGCCACCACAGAAGTTTGTCCAGTTATTGGCTCAGTTTTCCTGGGTGATCTTGTTTTAATTCCTCTCCTTGGACTGGTTGCATTATTTGTTTCATTAACAGAAGTATTTGATGCATTATTACTACTTGAAACATGTAGAGACTTCATATTAGAATTCTGTTGTAATTGCCTTAAATTTTGCATTACATGATCCTATATAAACATATATTACAATAAAATAAAATTAAAATAAAATATTATAAAATCATATATAACTTAGCAAAATGGTTCATATATACCGTTACAAAATTAACTTGTAATCCAACAGATCTATTGATCTTAATTGGTGGACTGAATTTATCGTTACTCGCGCGTCGATCTGCCGCATTACGGTTTAATACCATTTCAAAATCTTTAATTTGTTTAGCTAATTGTTGACATTTTGCACGCGTTACTTCTTGATTTTTTTCTGATATACGTGCTTGTTCTCTTAGTTTACCAATTTCGTCACGCATAGTAATCGTTTCAACAATTTTTTGTATCAAAAGTTCTTCTAATTCCTTAAAGAAATTATCATCATTGAAATATATAAAACTTTTATTATTAAAATAATTAATTTAAATTTTTATATTTTTAACATACTTCCTGTTTTAATTTTGGCAGTTTTTCATTCAAGTCTCTTTGGAAAAATTTATGAATATAGTTAAGGTTTTTAATGTTGTCAGAATTATTTTCTTGTGTTTTTAATTCATTACATCGTTCTTCAAAATTTGCTTTAATTTTCTTAACACCACCATTCATAACAGGAGTATCAGTATCAGAACAGGTCCTTTTTAATGAAGGTGGCGATGAAGGACGTGCATCTTGATTCATTTTAAAATTTATAGCTACAAACTTTTCTGAATCATCACTAGATTCTACATCACTATGAAGGAATTTTGTTCTTATAATCTCTTCTGCATTTTTAGCTGTTCGTCTCTTCCGTCTTCCACTTTCCCTCACTGCTACAAATATTTTAATAAAAACTTAGTAATTTATAGAACTAAAAAATAAAAAATAGATATAACCAAATTGTTTAACTCTTTTCAATTATTAGATATATATCTTTAGTTTACAAATTACAATATTTCCAAAAATATAATTTATTTTTAAACCAATGAAAGTGTGAACAAAAAAAGAAAATGCCTAATAGTTTTATAATTTTTTAACTCTTTTTTAAAGATATATTAAATATTTTATACTCATAAAAATGCAATACATATACAAGGTGATCCAATAGGTATGAACTAAGAAAGTCAAAGAGAACATAAATACAAGAATACTGCTTCACATCTTTCCCTGTCTTTCATACATTATATTTAACGAATTAAAGTTATAATATCTGCCAAACTAATGGATTTCGGTATAAATAGCTGGATACTTTTTTGTACGGAATGTCCAACTGTATCGATTATAAAAAATATATGGTAACAAATAAAAAAACTAAATGTTAGCGTAATATCTCAAAAATTATAAGTTATTAAGAAGTCAAAATGTACTCATTTTCTCAGGCTCCTTAAATATAATACATTTCACTTCAAACATTTTTTGATACAGCCAATATATAGCCAGTTATGTTAGATGTTAGTTCTTATTGACTCAAGTTGTATGTGGGAGAACATACTTTTGTAGAGGAAAAGTGATATCTTTTCATTTTTAAACTAATGTGTATCCCATTTATTCAATATACATCCTACCTTGTTTTTCTTCTGTGCAATTCATTTGCTCTACTACAACATTCTCTCTTTTTGATCGTCTTTTCCTTCTTTGAGTAGTCACAGGAACTTCAACAGTTCTTTTATCACTATCATCACTATTATTTTTTGTATTAGTAACAAAATCTAATGAATCATTTTCTGTGATTACACTAGGTTCTAGTTCTACACTAGGTAAACTATTTTTATCCGACATCAATTCAATGTATTCACTTAAATTTTTTTTACTTGCAGAACTTATTATTGAGTTTTCCTTTTCTGTAGTTTTTATATCTTTTTTAGTAACGTCCTTATTTTGTTCCCAAAGATCAATTATAGGATGAGTTAATTGATTTTCAGAAGCATTGGATTTACTAATTTCGATAGAATTTGTACTATTATCACTACTTTTTAATTGATTATCACATTTTACACTCTTAATAACCGTTTTTTCTGGCATATTACCATTTTTGTTGCTAGTTACATTATTTAATACAGTCGTTGATTTAAACTCACTGTTTTCATAATCTTCATTTGATTTCATATCTTCAGAAGAAATTTTCTTTTTTTTATCCCTAAGAATTTCATCTGTTTTATAATTTGTTACTTTTCCATTTAGTATTATATCATCATTTACTATTTTTTTTTCTTCTAAGGAATTTAAAACAGTAGTTTTACAATTATTTCCAGATAGTTCCATCTCTTGACTGAGTTCTGTTAATTTCTTATTTCTATTAAGATCTTGTTCTTCTAATTTATAGACTTCTTTAATTTCTGTACTTTCATTTGTATCAGTTATTTTAGTTATTTTATTTTGTTCTTCATTATTTATACTTTTATATTGTTCTTGATTACTTTTTTTTGCAGTATATTTTATAGCTTCATCTTTATCAGATTTACATTTTATATCAGTTATTTTAGTTATTTTATCTTGTTCCTCATTATTTATACTTTTGTATTGTTCTCGATTACTTTTTCCTTCAGTATATTTAATAGTTTCATCTTTACCAGATTTACATTTTATGTCTATATTCAATGCTTCCACTTTGAAATTGTTAGAATTACGAAAATCGCTAAAAACAATATTTGCATTATTCATATCGTTTTTATTTATTTCGTCTTTTTGCTTACTATTATTATCATTCTGAGAATCAGTTTCAGAATTTAGAGGATTTTCACTAGAATTGTCATTCAAAGTATGGATCGTAGTATTTTTACATTCAGGATCATTAGATACTTTTATTTTTGTATTTTCTTCCAAGTCATGTTCTAGTTCTAATGAATTATTGACAGAATCAGTGTTAACAGAATTTTCTTTTCTAATATTTTTAATAGGAGTATTTTCAACTTTTTCACTCAATGATTCATTTGAATGGTCATTCTTATCGTTATTAACTACAGATTTGCTACATAATATACTATCTCCATCTATTGTTGCGTCATTATCAAGTTTTATAGTTTCAATATCATTAACTTTAGCTTCTAAAGATATGTTTTTATTTGATGGAGATATAGGACTTACATCAGATTCTGTTGAACTATTTTGCTTGTGCATTGTATTAGAACTAAAGCCTTTCTTTTGACGTCTACCACCATAAATCGAACTATGTGAATGAAATATTCCATTGCCTCTTCCTCGTTCGAAAGGACCAAATCCATTATAAAATCTTGTATTACAGTTATATTGAAGTCTATAACGTCCTCTAGGTGTTAAATGACGAAATCTTTGATTAACCCAATGAAAGGAACGACCATTGGGAGTTCTAGGATACTTATATTGTGATCCATAACTTTGCCATAGACGAGAAACATTAGCTGTTCGTGGTTTTCTCATCAGTTCACTTTCACCTTTCTTAACAATTTTTTCATAATCAATTAGTATTTTTTCATCTGAATCGTTATCTGAACTGTGTTCCTTCTTCTTTATATCTGCTTCTGTATTCATTATATCTTTTTTTGGAATAGAAGAAATTTCCATATCTTCAGTTCTTGTAGATGTCATTTCTGTAATTTAAATAAAACAGTCGTTCAAATTTTTCAGATCATAATATTGCAATTAGTGTAATGTATTATGATTACCAATTTCATTAGTTTTTGATGTATTTTCTTGATTATCTAAAACAGGTGTTAAAATATCTTCTGTCTCAATTTCATCATCAGAGAGTCTTAAACGCATACTATCATCTGAGAGAGCATCTTCTTCATCACCATCATCGCCTGTACTATATAACAACTCCTCTTC